CGGCCCTCAATACAAGCCAGTAAAAGAAATTAAGAAGTTTACATGAACCCACGTTTCTTTACCGGAAGGCTTTTCTTTTGCTGGCACATGACACCGCTGTTGCAATATAATGATTTATAATTGCTTGGTTATTACATTCCATTTAAATACCTTCTAATAATAATATGGTCTAAGTTAAGTTGTGTTAGAGGAGACACACTCTGTCTAGACGGCCTATTTTATCATAAAATATTGTTTTATTTTTATTAAATAATCTATATCTATAAAAGAAGAAACTGACAGACTGATTTACTGACTGAGCGATCAAAGCACAGCTGAAACCACGGGGTCTAGAAGCATGAAATTTTGCAGAAAATTTTACTTAGGTTACGAAGCTGTGCACTAAGAAGGGATTTTAAAAAATTCCAGCCCTAAAGGGTGCAAAATGAGGGTTGGAAATTTATATGAAACTTCGTTATTTTTAACCGACTTCAAAAGGACGAGATTATTTATTTATATTAAGCACATCAACAAAATAATTACAACATCGTGGGGCAATAACATTTTCATAGTTTGAGTTTCCGGTAATTACACAGATATGCATGACACTTAGTATATATCCAATGGAGAGACCTTTTATACAAATGCTAATTTAATACATAAAGATACATACACAGACGTAAAACCTAAGCTAGAAAGTTTTTTTTTGTAATAATTAAAGACAACAAAAACAAAACAGATCAGGCGCTCTAAAAGTTGGGTTCGCCAACATGGCCTCGTATGGAATGTCTGAATGATGTGAATGTCATGGAGAAGATATCAATATTTTTCACCGCCATAGACCTTTCGTTTAACAGCCTTGCCATGACTGTAAGGGGGCTATTGAAAATGGTATTTAAAAGTTGATACAGGTATTTCAAATATTCGGTGACGCATTACCCGTGTATTAATTATAAAGTTAAAGTTGTATATCAATTGTGCATAATTATAATTTATAATTTTGTAAAATGTAAATAAGTCAGAATGAACGCGTCTTTCAACTAGTTGGCGGTACCTTTCCCCCGTCAACCAAATTCGAGTTGGATGCAAAGAGTTCGCCTAGGAGATCGGCTTACTCTTTGGCATTATAGGCCAACGATTTATCTCCTATCTACAGGGGTGGAAGGCATTGGCTACAGAAATTCCCCTGGACAGCCTTGGCAAGAGACCAGAATGCACGAGTTACCGAAGGAAGTCCCACCAATCTCTCATTGTCCCGGCTGATGTGTTCCGATTTCCCCCTAGCAGTAGCTCTTTTAAGGGACCTGGAGGCAAAACCGCTAAAAAAACAATATAACTATATTGTTTTTTTAGCGTTTTTGCCCATGCTTGGTAGCAATCCTGCTTTCGGCGGGATCTGTCAAACCAGGCCTTGGATCTGCCACCGATGGGAACTTATGTAGAAGGAACGAATAGTTCCATGCCCTGAAGCACTACATCAGTGACAGAATCGGCAACGACGGTGGGTCCATCCAGCAAGAAACAAAACTGCCATGGAGGGTACGACGCAAAGAAGGAACGCATCCCAGTCCGCTGGCCTATTAGTCCAGTCAAAATAGACAAAAGAAAGTCATAAGTTAGCCGAAATGTCGAAATAGAATTAGACAATTATCTAATATAATAACATTTAGAAGAAGACAACTTATTCCACTTTGATCTTTAGCAATATTACCATTCTTTCAATCAATAGGATACGATCTGATCAAACTTTCTTTCTTACAATAGATCGTGGAGAAACCACGTTAAAAAATATGCTCCAAGTACCTCATAGGTGGTTCGGAAATGTGTGCATATTGTGTAAAATATGATTTTTTAAATTATTAAAACCGCGATATCTTTCGAATGGCGAGTCGTAAGAGAAAAAGTGACTGGACCATATTTGTAGAGAATTGTATGATCTACAACTTTTGTCTGACCAATTTTCACGATAAAACTTACCGTTTTTGAAAAAAATGGAAAAAACCTTAATTTTGTACGTTTGACCTTGATTTTTTTTTTGGCAGAAATAGGATCGAAGGGGATTTTTGACATTTTTTTTATAATGATGTATTTAACGTCTGCCAATTTTCAGCTCTATGCGAATTTTGGCTAAGTAAAATGTCTATTTTGACTGGAGTATATAGTGCCATACACGGGGACAGCCTGCAACTCGCGGCCGCGGTAACTGTGAGTGGCACTGTACTCCGGATTAGATAATGATCCGAGGAGCCAAGGTGGGCTTTGTAACCGATTTTTGTGTTTTGTGTGTGATTTTGTAACCGTCCGTATCGGAGGTCAGCAGAAGGTCCAACAGCGAAGGTTCATGAATCTCCATATCTGGGACTCGCGTGGGCGTTGATACAAGTTGTGAAAAGCCATAGGTCAGGGCGAAATCGTAAACAGATCTCCTCGCGTGATCGGTTCTGCGTGAGCGTTGTGAGCGTTAAAGTCGCCAAGTATCACGACCTCTACGGATGAGATCTGCTGCAGCACGGAGTCGTAGCTATTTGGACGTGGTCCATCAGTCAGTCAGTTTCGGTGTCACCGCTATGGGACCTGTAGTGGCATGCATAGACGCGGGGATGGTTCCGTCCTTCAAGATTGCTGATTGAAATGTTTTCTTAATCAGACTTTCGGTATTAATTTGTTTCCTCTTTGATAGTTACTTATGAACGTAGTTATGATTAAAAAAATTAACTTCAAAACACGGAAAAAGCAAAACAGATATTTTACTAACCTACGAATTTATATAGATTACATTTTAATTCTGTTATATTCTTTGTCACCTACCTAGTTTTGGATGCTGTTAATGTAGTGTTATTCTAATAAATGATTATTGTTTTTTTTTTATTTGTACTATTTATTGTAGTTACATAATGTATTAATCATTAAAAAAAATTTAGAAGCCTCCACTTTTTTTTCACAGTTTTTAAAGAAAAATGTTCGGATGGAATTTCCAAGAACATAATTAAATTCACTTTTATTAAGTACCTATGAGATATTGTCATTTTTCGGGTAGTTGTATAATTTGACAGTTTTTGAGTTATCGGGTGATAGTTGGTTTATGGTTGGTCTTACCCTCTACATGACCGCGAAACTGGACTTAGCGAAGTCATCTAGCGAGTTATCTAGCGAGATATATGTATATGACAAAATTCTGCTATGCTATGCTGGCTGTGGCAGTTAGGTGTTCCTAAACCTAAGTGACACAACAAACGGTTTTTTTTTGTGGTAAACGCGCAAACTTTGCGACCTCTTTTTTTCGGGATAAATAGAATTCTGTCTACTCAAATCTGAAACTTCCGTTATGGAAATTTTGATTTCAGATATCAGTTTATTTCAGCTCTTGATGTTCCATTCTATTATCTGCATAACAATGGATCTGATGAATGGATCTGCGGGTTTGCAAGAAATCGTTGATATGCAGAAGAAGCAGTGTGGGTGATAGCACATAGCCTTGGGGGACATCAGCATTTACAGACTTGGAGCAGGAGCATGCACCGTAGATACCGACCCTAATGTTTCTATCAGCTAGGCAATTTTGCGGATATTTTTGTGTGTACAATCTTCGTAAGTAAATCAAAATGTTTAAAATTACCCTTCATGCCGATTGTAAATGTATCTGGGTAATAAAAACAGTTCTATTTAACGTGCCTGTTATAGCACTAAGACGACTGCGAGGCAAATGTGAGACGTTGAAGGAATCATTATGCATAATAGAGGCGGTTTAAATGACGGAGGTACACATTAGTGCCTCTTTATATCTCTACGGTTTCTTCTCAATATTATAATTTTAGCAGCATTGCTTCATTCAATCTAGGTGATAACGTTTTCGATTGTAATTAGCATGTAGTCGAAATTAAGTTACGTTGCCGTTTATTGTGAGTCATTCATGAACAAGCATTAAGTTTACATAGCTCATCAAATCTCTCAATAAAATCTCTCGAAATAATGTAATGATTCCAAAATATCCTCTTCCTCCTTCATTTGTATTAGATGATTCAGTGGTTACGGTCGGTTGGCCCGTTCATCCGCCTCCATAGAAGGACAAACCAAAACCGTGGCGCAAAATGACGTAATACCTTGTCGTAAGCGACTATCGCTATAGTTTAGGGTATACATACACTAACATACAATGATTTATCAACGTTCATTTAATTAATTTGATTAGAAAAAACTAAAATTTAATCAAACGCAATTATTATTAATTAACAAGATATACAAACGACCTTGTGAAGATCCGGCGCCGGTTGTCGATTGATGCCGCGTGCAACCGGTCTTCTTGGAAATTATTCATTGAGGCCTGTGTCCAGCAGCTGACGTCCTGTCTCTGAAATGGTGATGATGATGTGATTGCCTACATATACAAAACCAATAACCATGTTTTCCATGAAGAAGGTTTCCCTATTAATGGACTTATTTCTTCATACTTCCTCTAAATTCAAAGATGTCAAAAACCGTTTGATCGCATTCAAATTTGACGAAAAAAATCCAGCCTTAAGGGTGAAAAATAAGGACAATAATACAGAAACTTAAAAGTTGAACTTTTTTGAAGGTAATTTGTCACCTAAGTATCGGCCTGTCGTCGTATCGTCTCTCTATAGAGATATAAATAGACCTCCAAAATAAACAACACTGATGGATTTACATTTTCACCATTGACGGGTGCCATTTGTAACAGCCATCTTATTAAATTTGCCTATATCAAGCGATAACGGATTAAACTTCGCATTTGCTTCTAAGTTGCACCGTCTCTTTTATTAATGCAATAGAAGGAATAAAACATAAATTCAATAATATTTTTTTGGCAACATTTGTAACAAACTTAAGCGATCAAACGTTAAATGGGTAACTACCCTTAGTAAGAATACAACTTGTCAAAGCGCTAAAACGAGTTGAATTGCTCCATGACCATTTATTGTTGTGAAGTGACTGCAGTGAGCGCACGAGACGCTTTTTCGCGACTACTACTTACGCGTGTTTATAACCACTTTTAATACCAAATGGCGTGGCGATCTAGCGAAGAAACGTTTTATGATGCATTGTCGTATAAAGTGAAACATTCTAAGCGAGTTTTCTTTCTAGTGTAAGTTCATATCTATAGTAGCAGCAATGAAACACATATTATATTACACAATAAATGTCAAAGTATGAGAAATAAATGTAAATGTAAAATGTACATTAGGCTTATTAAACTAATAATTTAGATATAGAATCATATTAAAATATTCAAGTACAAAAATGAGAACAACTCCACGTTTAAAAGCTGCAACTGACGTTTACTGTAATATTTAAGTAGCTACCTTATTTAGACAATTTTGTTTGGTAAAGCGTTGTAATTACAGGTAACAGTAACATTCATTAGACACATTTTAAAACTGCTTATCTACACGAAACAGACTTGTTTAGTTCGTATCGCGTGCTGCTTAACTAATACAAACACGTCAGTTTGCTGTATCTTTGTCAGGCAAGCCTCAAGGTCAAAACATAATATAGCAGCAGATCAACTTCTAATTCAATACGGACTTATTGTTACAGAGACTTTAGTTGCGATTAAATAATCCGGTGTTATCTAGTATGTATCTACTTAAACTTGTGCGGAAATAAAACATTATTTGTAAGTGTCAATATCTAAATGACAGATAGTTTTAACCTTTATGTTTATAATGTTAACGATTATTGTTAAAGCGCCCGCTATTCGTTTCCTCCTCACTTCTGGTTTAATAGGTTGGGTGACTTGATGTCCAGTGGGGATATACAATTATTAATAACAGCTCTAAAGGTTTGATCTTGATCATGCTGTCCTGTCGAGGGTTTTTAGTAAGCACAGTTATTAAAATTTCGTTTTGTAGTGAAATATTTATTACCACATTATACATAAAAAATATAACTTACCATTGCTGGAAAGTTAAATAATTAGGACTAATTTTCGTTCATTTTATCGATTAATATATATATAGTTATATGTATATATATAAGGTATAGTTTATGAATATAATACTTATCTAATTAAAGTATAGTTCGTGAGTTACAATTATTTTCGCAATTAAAGATGTCAATAAACTTCATGCCCAGTACTTACCTACCACGCCAATTACAATTTGATTTCAGGTTAGGTATGCATTCTAGAATAACGAATGCAGAAATAAAAAACGCGTCAGTGACCTTCTTATTCATAGCATGAAACTCAGGCGAATTAAAGTGTGTAACTTTTTACATGTATAGTATGTTGATCTTTGACAAAACACTTTCTTTCTCTCTGAATCATTGTATTATGTTTCTGGTTCTGAATATTAAAGAAGAAGAATAAGATACAATTTTAAGATGCGATTCAGATGACTTTGATCTGGAAGATGTTTTAGTATCTTCATGTTCACTTTTCATGACTTATGAAGAGACTGAGATTTTCATGTTCACTTTTCATGACTTATGAAGCTTGGAACGGTAAGAACTTGCGAGAGAGTTACAAGAGTCCAAGGCACATACTATTATTTTTTCGTTTAGTCCGTTTAGAAAAAATATATCTAGCGTGTGTCTTGTATGTTATTGCCGCGTTGGTGTTCTATTATACGCAAAGAAAAATAATATCAATAGCCTTATAATTATAAACCTTCCAAATAATTTGTTCAGCACCCATGAACTTAAGAATAGATTACCTATACTGTTTGATCCAATTTTAATGCCTATACAACATAGTCGGCAAGGATCTCATATGCTTACAATCATATCTGCCTTCTGGTAGGTACTCCTCGTTATCCGAAGGACGCCTATTAAATCCACTATTAACTACTCTGCTTTTATTTGCTAAGCAATTAATCTCAAATGACGTAAAGTATCTCAAACGTTAGTATGTAATAATAAACAAGTATACGCATAGTAATAAAGTGACAAATGTCATTAAGGAACTAGGCGGTCTTAACTTCAATATAATCACGACTACAGTTCTATAACATATGATAACTGTACCTACATGTATGTAATACATACAAACATGTTATGTGCACATAATAACAGAGACGGCGAAATTACGTTCAAGGATATTTCAGTGTGAGTGACTTAGTATGTTCACTTCTCCAGTATTATTTATTGGCTTGGAAACACTCAGAAATTAAAAAAATAGCAGTTGACGTAGAAGTGTAGTTTGGCATAATTGCTTGTGACGTACGAATATGAATATTCGTGACCGCTGATGATAACAATTGAGCTAAAAAGCTTTCCACGGGTAAATGAAAGGCACCAATAATTTAAAAAAATATAAAATATATAGTGTGGTCATCTTTTTAGTCCGTCAGGTCTCTCAAAAACTATACGGCCCTAATATGGATATATTTAATAATGCATTAATATAAATCTGAAGAGTTAATTTTGTTGTGGAACGCGCTAATTTCAGGAACTACTAGTTCGAATTGAAAAATTATTTTAGTGCTGAATAGCCCGTTTATCGAGGAAGCCTAAGGAAAAATGTTGCAAAGCGGGGAAAGTTTATTGTTATTGAGAGACGTAGACGAAGTTGCTAGGATCAGCTCAATGTTGACTCATTAAAACCCTGTAGCGATAAAAATCTATACTTCCATTCACCTTCGAAGACTATCTTCAAGGGACTTTCAAGAATATTTTGCCGTAAACCATTATAGCAGTAGCTCTAGATATTTTTTTTTTTCAGATGGCGGGGAAGTATTTACAAACTGGTTTGGCTCGACCTGCTAGTGTTTCTGCTTTTGTATTATGTACTCAATTTAACATATCGGCTATTATTGGACGAACATTCCAAAAGGTAATATATTTGAAAATAGTTTATTTAACTTTAAGTATTTAAACAGAAACATTTTGAAAGAGAATACTTTAAAAAACCTTCTGTTTATAAATGGCTTCCATTAGATTTCACCAATTGTTGTCGCGTCCTATTTCTATTTAATCTTAGTTGGTCCGAATCTGCAATTCTAACAAATTAATTTCATAGTTCGATCACCATACACAAAGCACCTCTAAAGTATAATATGAACTATATTTCATAACATTTCAATCTACTTACCAAGGTTTTACTAATGTCGATGTTTATTTTAAATCGAGTAAAATCTTGTTATTATTTGGTATTATAATATGTTAATGAAAATGAAAAGTGTAATTAGAAATCGTTTCTGTACAATCGTTATTATACATTATCAAAACTACTCATAAGCTTAGTTTCACATTGTCACATGTAGTGCAAGTGTACTGGACTGTTAACATAATTAAAGTTTTTTTCTTGCAGAGTGTTTGAAGGTGTTGTAAATTACTGCAGTTTCCACGGGAATGTGATCCCTCTGTCGTTCGTGTTAGGGTTCTATGTTACTGTTGTAATGAACCGCTGGTGGAGTCAATACACAACTATACCGTGGCCCGACTCTATTGCCGTTTTCGTCTCCGCCACAATACATGGTCAGGTATGTATGAGCGAAAAGATATCAACATAAAGTAACACAATTATGAGCTGTTATTTTTTTGACACTCGGTTTGTTTTTTGCTGTAATTTTGTTACGCAAAAACTGTTTACTGGGTACTTTCTAGCCGTGAATAATAAATTTAATTTACGACTAGCACATGACAATCAGAAGTGGAGAGATCGCAGAGAGGTTTAATGTAATCGGTTAGTAACGTCGGGCCTTGAAATATGATGATTCCAATGCTAATTAATTGATCCAGTACAGAAACTATTTGAAAACGGTTCAGGGTGAGTTAGAATTACGTGTTAGGCATTTCGTAGTATAAACTTTTTATTCATATAGTGCTGCAAGAATCTCATAGCATGTTGAGACGCAAGCGTGATATTATGGTTCATAGTTAATAACTTTGAATGAGTTAATTAGTCATAGTAATTACTAGTAGTACTTGCAGACTTATATTTGGAGAGTGCGAAACATGAATGATAAAAAATAATAGCTATTTTCCTGCGCCTCTCAATATCATGATATGCTGTAATATGTTTCTCGCTCTTATGTATTCAAATAAAAGGTTATGAAAAAAACTAATGAAAAACTTATAGTGCAATATTTATTACTTATATTGCCACTAAATTTGCTACAGCAAATTTACGAGATACGAGTAATACAGGTGATAACTTCATAATTTTGACTATCTGGTTGTTTTAATGATCCTAACTGCTGAGCCAGCGGTCGTGGGTTCGATTCCCACCATGAACCAATGACTGTCTGACGAATACGATCTTGCCACGATTCTGGGCGTCATTTATCAGTTAGAATGAATGTAACGCAAAGATATATTTTTCAGCCATCTGGTTACGCTACAGTACAGGCTCTGCCTAGTTTGGAATTAGACGGGCATGTGTAAGGTGTGTGTGTTTGCAGTGACATTCATGTGGTGACGGATTAAGAATACAGAGTTCCACGGCCCGTGTCGATCCCGTGGGCGTCGTAAGAACTGACAAAGGGAGCAAACTATGCATGACAGCAGCACTGCAAAGAGAATTAAACAATGAGAATGAAACAAACCCTATACCAACCCGTCTGGCCAGCATGGTATAGTAGGCCAAAACCTCCTTTTTAAGGATTGGCCTATGTCTAGCATGGATTAGTTGTGGTGATGATGATGATAATGTATGAGATGTCTCAAGGCGTTACGTTACTATATTTTTTATGTTAATTTTATTGAAAAATGAATTATTAATAACGAGAAAACCTTAATCTCGCATAGCTTACAAATTGTTGAGGTAACAGGTCGTCAAATATAAAAATATTCAAAAACAGACAAAAATTCCTAACGTTTAAATAATGAAAGCGGTTTTATTCGGAACTATTAGTGACTTTTAACGACATCTCACAGTTTAAATAAATGAGCATGATCGTTGGTTTCCCCCATAATTATTTATATCTATCCTATCATTTTCACCAGAGACGGTCTCAGCATATACATATACGAAGACTTCGTAACAAGTAAAGAAATACGTAAAATGAATACTGAGATCTTGCAATTACAGGTTTGGAATTCTAAAATCTTTTGGTTTCTAGTCTGGTAAATGTACCTATTAGTAGACTTTATTAGTGTATTTTAAAAGACAGGTTTAAAATGTATGAGTTGCAATCTTCCGTATGTAGTATTTATTTTGTTAATTACCTATTCTTTCATTCAAAACTCCGCATACGATGTCTCACAATCTTAAGTAATTTTATCTTTTTCAATATGCGTGTGATTATTATATTTATAAATTATAAAAATATAATGAGTCATGCAATGTAACAACAGTAAGATAACTGTATTTTTATCTCTGTGATAAGCTTATAAAGATTTTTTTGTTAAATTAGTCCATAAAATAATTGATTAAATTAAAACAGAGATGACAAATACATTATGACAATGACAAATACACATTATGACAAATACATTATGACACTACATTATAACAAATACATGACATACTACAGTACATTAAATTAGCATTGAATGTTTTAAAATAACTCGCTTTCGCGGCGTCAGACGAAACGCAGCTGAAATCCAAAAAAGAGAAAACACATGTTCTTACTAGAACTGACTGCTATTATATGGGTTAGAAACTAATGTTTGATACATAATGTACACAGTCTAGAGAAAACAATTAATACGCTCGCCCAGAAGCGCTAGCCTTGAATCTCGATGATGCGATCTAAACAAAAAATGTGGTATCACTCTGGTCGAGCTGACACATGTGGGCTGGCTCGAACGGATACATTTTTGTGAAATCACGACCACTCATATAACCGGTGGTAAGCAATTTTTCATTGCTTTTCACTGAGTGAGTAAGGTTACCGGAGGTCCAACCCAGTCACTTACCGCCAGGTGACCGGTCTGCTCGTTTGCCCCCAAATCCTACACTCTATACTACAAAAACGAACGAACATCTTACTATAACATAGATAATATATAGTCATACATGGTTGGTGTAAGTGATGATTTGAATGACTAAAATGATTGTTTAGTTCCTAAGGGATACTAAAGTTAATTAAAATTACCTTTCAATAGATTTTTATTGTTAAACCTGTAATTTTAGTTTAGTAAAATTATATATTCTACTATTAGGAATATGTTGAAAATGACTTGAGTGGAAACTGACTCTAGATTTGTTTACATAGCCGTTATTAATCATATTATAGTTACAAGTCAAGCTCATAAAAGCGTGTTGACAGAAGAGCCATAACCTACAAACACAATGCTCATTTAACAGACACACGCGTAGACGGAACATTATAAATTAGACAATTTGTGAACAGGATGAGCGCGGGCGTCTGATGCGACGGACTATAGTCCGCTACGTGTGCCTCTGCCTCACCATGGTGCTCACGATGATCTCACCCAGAGTCAAGAAACGGTTTCCTACACTGAATAACTTCGTCGAGGCAGGTCTCCTTCTAGAAAATGAAAAAAATATACTCGAACATTTGAATGGCAAGTTTCCCAAACCATCAAAACACTGGTAAGAAATTGCGCCTAAACTAATAATATTGTAAAGAGAAAACCCGTGTTAATAATTAAGCAGATTTTAAGAATTAATTCTATTCACCTATTTTAATAGGTGAATAGTAAGTAGTGGTAAAGCTAAATTGAAAGTGAGTAACGTACTCGTTAGGTACATACTGTACTTTTTTTAAATTAGAGCTTTAACGCTTTCGTAATGGAAACTTCGACTTGAAGAACGAACCACGTGGAAGAGCATATAAAAATAACAAGATTAATCTATTATTTATCTACAGATTAGAAACAAGATTGTTTCCAATTTACTGAAAATAGAATCTGGTATAAGTAAATTTTAGGTTTTAGTAGGTCAAAACCCCCCTGCTAAGGAGAGGCCTATGTCCAGCAGTAGACTATTAAAGGCTGTTGATGATAAATAAATTAAAAATTACAAGCTACTATTAGATAATACTAGCTTGTAATTTTAATTATATTTATATTAATTAAAACTTTAATATTCTCTATAATACTGGATAGTGTCCTTTTTAAACGCTGGGGCGCCTTGCTGTTCAATTCCATGTGAAGACTGTCTAATGTATCTTTTTATATGAACGTCTACGCTTGCCTAGTCGGCGCAATGAGCGACATACAGTGAGACTTCTGAATCGATTTTAATAAGCCTTTCATTATTAGACAACAACATTATAAAGAAATAGCACAGGCTGGTTTTCATTACGATATACCCACGGGATCGGAATCCTCGCGGGTAAATTGTGAACTGAAAGTTGTTAAACTATAGTTCGCGCAGAAAAATTCACGGGGAAATCTAAAGTATACATATGAAGAAATTATGTAATAACATGATTAACGATAAAACTTTGACAGTGACAAGTAAAATAGCTTAATATGTTTAAAAACAGTTTACCTAGTTTTTCATAAATTAATCATGATGTATATTTGAATTTTTAACCACTTACATAGATCATATGTCGAATTATGAACAACATAAATATCTACCTAGGGACTGTAACAACGAATACTGATATAAATATATTATAATGAATACAGAATATAGTATGCTTAAATCATAACTGAAAATATAAAAGTTACCTAATCTAAAATTCCACATCCTTAATGCATTCGTAGTAAAGTTATCTACGTATAATATATTATGTGTATGTATCTGTAGATAAGATGTTGAGGAAGCGAGTTAATCAGTGATGATTGTGACTTACAACTATAAAAAGAAAGACCGTTGTTTTATCGAAAACGATTATGTTATTGTAGCCCTTGTAATAAAGGCAAGGTTATTATAAATGATAAATCTCTAAAATAACACTTTAAAACAGGGACAACAGTACTTACCTTTTAGAACTTGTAATCAAATATTGCCAATGCGTTAAATAATATTGTAATTGCAGGTTACCAATAGTATGGGCAACCAGTATCGTGACCAGAGCCCGCAAAGAGGGTAGAATAAGAGATGATTTTGCTGTAAAAACGATTATAGACGAATTAAATAAGTTTCGGGGCCAAGCTGGGCTACTCCTCAGCTACGATACTATAAGTGTACCTTTAGTGTATACACAGGTTTGCTATTTTTTTGCCGCAATATTTTAGACACAGGTCTCAACGATAGAAATATAGTCTCAGAGGAGCAGTTATTCATTGGCAAATTTTATCACATGTTGAATTCTATACACTACACACAATTGTATTCAACTGTTATATAAATAGTTTATCTCTTTGAAATGTATATAACTTTTTTTTTAATATATAAACATCTCTTAACTGAAGTAATAACTTTCCAGGTAGTTACCATAGCAGTATATTCTTATTTTATAACATCTGCCGTGGGCAGTCAATGGGTGGACAATAAGTTACAATCTCCAAGCGATTCAACGCAAATTAGCAATATAGACTTGTACTTTCCAATATTTAGTACGCTAGAATTTTTCTTTTATATGGGGTGGCTTAAAGTGGCTGAGTCACTGATTAACCCCTTCGGTGAAGACGATGATGACTTTGAAGTGAACTGGCTGATAGACCGTGATTTACAAGTAAGTGACATCTAAGTATTTCATATAATTTATTAAGCAAATTCGCACTGATCTGAAATATGGAATAATCAAAACTTTTAAATGTCGAAGGACGTTAAATTTTTAAACAATATTTACAAAAATGTTTAAAATTGTGTAAATACGTAAAAAGTCTATTCAATGACAGTTCAAGTTAAACTAAGTCAATATTGTAATCTAAAACATTTGTAACTCAACCGCCAGATAGTCTCAATTTATGATAACAATTTAAAATTGTTTTGGTTTTTGTGGTTTGGCAAACCAGCGCACATATCGCTTAACAACTGTAGCTTACCCATGAACCCTTGAACACATTAGTGCTACTTGCGTATTGCTAACAATGCAGTACCTACTGCGTTAGTAGAGCTAGTTACTAGCTGCATTCCGTAGTGCCCGGTTCCTTCTCTAGAATTTCGAATCCTCCTATGTATGTAAAGGTATCATAAGAGTGATGTTCAGTAGTGAACTACAATAGGGCAAATTATAATGTTGAGGAGTACATCTCCATATTCAGTAATATTTAAGCTATTATTGCCTAAATCACTACAGTGACATAAAAGTCTCGAGAATTATAAATTGAAAAGTTAATAATAACAGTATACAGTAGACAAATACCTAGACATAGAAATTAATTACCACACATTACGTAATTTATGTCGAAGCACTAGTCTATGTGTTCTGATATATGGCATCAAACGTCAAACATATACAGACTATGACAATGACTAAACAAGCTAATGTAAACTAGAATAAGGCCTTGTTTACACTTTGATTATTGCAAGTAAGATATAGGAGCACATTGTTGACTCATGATTGCGAAAATGCCCTTACACTGTATCCGCAGCCAAGGAATAGAAGCAATGTAATTTACGTAATACATGCACTAATCAAATTTACAGACAAGACCTAACGCATGAATGAAGTCATCTATTACGTAGTGATCGCTATTTTATGAAAATTGAGTGAAGTTGTAATTAAGATTGAGTGTCATTGTAATTTCGTTATTGGGTTAAATTTAATTCGTAAAATGACATTACATGACATTTGGATGAATACACGTATTAAAAACCTTGTATATTGATTTTTCAATGAAAACCGTTTGGAACTTTGAAGGTGCAATCTGTTGATAAATGTGGCCTTCAATCATATTAGATTGCCATTTTTGTACAACGCGAATTTTGATTAATACGAGTACGGTAACCTTACATCATGAATTAAAGTTATCTCTACTTATTAGGTGTCGTATATGATTGTGGACGAGATGCACCATGAGCACCCTGAGCTTATCAGAGATCAGTATTGGGACGAGGTGTTCCCAGCAGAGCTGCCGTACACGCTAGCTACTGAGAACCAGCGAGAGGCGCATCCTGAGCCGTCGACCTCACGCGTTGCGGTGCCACTACGTCAGCGGAGCATGGTGCTGTCTGCGCCTTCTAACGTCAAGATCGACGAGATGGCCCCGTCCAACACCGTGAGTTACAAGTTCGACCCACCAGAGGTTAGACCCGTCCGTTTTTAAGCATGCTGCACGCCCGGACTGTATGGAGCTTAGCAGTGTGTCGGTTCAGGGTTATCGATGCCATTATTGATGTATATCTATTTACCCACTACTCCTTATATGTAAATTTTATTTCAGTTATTGTGTCTAATTCGGAACGGTTTTCAGGGTCTTGTTTTATCATTTTAACACTTTTGTATTTGTCTTAGTTTAGAACACCCCGATGACTAATTTAATATACGGTTAAAGGACTACGATTAAATACATACATATAGTAACCATACGTGATTATTGAGTTTTGTTTTACATAGCTTCGGTCAATGGATGATATTTTACTCATAAGCTTTTCCGTAGTACTAAACTAACATTGACGTAATATTACGTGATCGTTATGAAATCCCTTAAACTTATACTAGTATTATATTTAACAAAAACATATAGTATTTACTAATACATTCATTAATATAAGCTTAACTTAATTCTAAAATTATATAGAATTATTTAATCATGAATTCCAGGATGGCTGATGTAATAATTCGCATATTATTCATATTATTTAGTTTTGTATTATCCAACAAAGTACCTGTTATTGCATGTTTAAACCTGTTTTTTTTTCAGTTTAGATATGAATTTTAATAGAAAACATGTAAAAGGTTACCAAACCTTTACAAATACCAAATGTTCTACTTTCGCTTTGTGAGACCTGTGGCTCTTTCAAGGCGTATAAACGATGTCATTAAGTACAAGAAATATAAATACATATTTTATAAATCAATTAGTATATTTAGGTAAACTTGAAGACATGTTTCGCTATAACAAAACTATACATCGTTATTTTTTTAAGAAACCCTAATACGTCCCCAGTCCAGCTACACAAATTAGAGGACAGTAAATAATAGACCCAATAATAGATGTACCTACCTAACTCACCAAAATATAGTCTAATGCCGAGTATAGTGCGTCAATGCCTATACAAAAATAAAGAGGCATAACTGTTTTAGTGTCATACTTTATCTAATACTATTACGATATAAAAGTCAGAGTGCAATAATATTAAACTTACGGTCATTACACAATATGCATTTTAAGTGTTACTAATATCAATATTACCTTAAACCGTGGAATTTAGGTATTGATTTCTAAATGAAGTGACAATATGCTGTAGTATTGCATATTTATGGAACATATATTTTTATTGACAATCTTATTCTGATTATATTATTGTGTCGTAAACAGGTTACGAGTATTTTACGCTTGTCTATATGCCTTTAATGTTTTTAAAAGAACTTAACGTTCATCTCACGCACTTATTGGTTACCTACTTTTTACTACCGACAATTTTGTTTGGTCCATTGTGTTAAAAAAATTATTGTTTCTTTACTGCTGTACATAAAAATGATGTTTTTTTATCCCGCTACAAGCCATAGCGTGAAACCTTATTTACTGTTATCGACAATTGATCTTATCTTTGGTGAGTGTCTTGTAAAATGATTGAATATTATGTATGGTCTTCTGTGATGACGTCCATGTTACAAACTACTTTTGTCAAGTACTTACATTGTACCTACTCTTATGACATATACCTATACGTTTTTATTTTTAGCTTCGCTACTTCTCTGTCTGACAAGTACATCATAGGGTGCTTCTAAAATTTACGATTTATCAGCTGTTCCTTTTGTAAGAGATTTAAAATTAAAATGTGTACTTGGCTTCTAGTCCATACAAAAATATTTATTTGATGAAAGTGGTTGCTTCATACATGTTTTTAAGAAAATCATTACATTATCTATTTTGTCTGTTGTATAAATTGTTGTTGTAAAATTCTGATTTAGATGTCCTTGTAGGGTTTTTACGGTCCAGTTCATATTCCTTAAATTTATTATAGAAGTCCATTACCACTGTAGCTGTTTCCTTATTTCGCGGAACGACGTGTAATTGATTTATCAAATAATCCATCAATCGAACAGATTAAGATACGCTACATATATTTATGAACTGGTTCCACATTAATCCTGTTAAAGAAGGAACTTTATTAAGTTCGTTAAATAAAGAGAAACATACCTCTCTCTGTTAATCTTTTCTTCCAGCGGTGTTTGCAAAAAAGAGATAATAGTATGATTAAAATAATTAGTTTAGTCAATTTTTATTCCCATATTTTTAAAATTATGATTTATTTATACAGCAACTACAGATGAATGACGATGCTGTTTCGGGCATTCATTTCATCGTTAACCGCGGAAGTAAGCGTGGAAAGCGCGATGACAGAAATTCCATGGGTTCTACGAACTCTATGGCGTCACTGCAGCAGACACCAATGACAAGAACCAATTCCGTTACATCAATGTTAAAGAGACTCTTCTCCAAAGACGAATCAAAAAACACGAATCCTGGCTCACAGACAGATGGTGGTAAGTTATAGGCACACTTACTTTTTAAAATGGTGCGATCAAAATTAATACGGTTACGTGATCTTAGATGTAATATCGTATAGCAAAGTTTGTCCTCTTTGCAATGTAGTTTACTTTGACCAAAACTTGTAATAAATGTCTGTTTAGCCGTATTTTCTACCGTTCTTGGTCACGTGACGGTAAATTGTCGATTTTGATGATTTAGCATCATAACCCAAGAAACAGAGCAAACACGCATTAGCGTTACTAAGCAAAGCAACACCAATATGATTTTATAAGAGTTTACAAGTTATAAAAGCTCACTAAATTACGTTATAGGTGAAGATGCTAAATCAATATCTTTTTTAAGCTGCTTATTAATGTTGATACATTAGAATCTTAGGTGTTCGTGGTTATCTGTTTCTTAAGTCCTCAGATAAAAGACTTGATACGTATAATATGATGTTAAACAAGTGGAAGACTGCGACAATGTGAGAATTTTAATTCCCCGAAAGTAATTTGCAACTCAGATTCACTTACACGCACTCAAGACGGATGTCTCGAGAATTAGCTACAGCTCAGAAAGTACAATAGGTATACCGCTTATCTATTCCGCATTGTAGAATGGAAATAAGACTAGAATAATAAGCGCATTATAGGGTGTTTACGATGTTTTTGCATTCATAGTGACATTATATAACAATAGGCTACTGCAGATTTATTGAGATACAACATGTCGCTATCTAAGGCGTGATACAGCATCACCTGACAGAAACTGCTATCTTACGTAAATAAATGCAGCTTGTCACAATATGTACTACATCGATTTCACACTACACAACGCAATCATTTTAATTTATAGTTTTTTTTAAGTCATGAAAAACTATACAATAGAACTAATATTGAGTTTATAATAAAATCCTATAATAAAACTTGAATATGTGTTGACCAGACCTGTTGATTAAGGCCCTATTGTTAATTAAGGATGGTCCTGTTTCCTCCAATCCAGAGAAGTGCACGAGAAACACGTTGCGATACCCTCTTACACATATTGTACCTACAAGAAAAAAAAACAGATACATTTAAATAAATAGATAGACATTTTCACACAGGTTTACGGGTTCACCGCAAAGAAGACCGTGTGTCGTATCACCTCAGTTTGAAAGCACCTCTCTAACTGCCTGGAATACAGCTCTCATCTCTATGCACCTCAGTACCAGCTTCTCCCTCTGGACCGCATCCAATGAAGAGCGACTCGAATCGTCGATAGCCCAAAGATCTCCGATCGGCTAAATCGGAGATCTTTTGGCTATTTTGATTGGCATTACGTAGAGATGTTTCTTCACTCTGCATTCTCTATCGTGTATAGCATAGAGAGTGCTCCAAGGAATTGTTCGGACTAGTACCGGCAGCAACTTTACACAATACAAATTCAAAATTTTCATCCCCATCACCTGGATAATTGGCGCTCTTCCACTGTGCGCTTTTCAAGACACCATTTGCCTCGTACATTTAATCTGTGGAACAAGTTATCGTCTTCGGTATTTCCGGACCGATACGACCTTCAAACTTTTAAGAAAAGACCTTACTCTTTCCTAAAAAGGCCGGCAACGCGTTTGTGACTCCCGAGTTGCAGGCGTTCATGGGCGTCGGTAGCCACTTACCATCAGGTGAACCGTCTGCTCGTCTGCCCCTCTTACATAAAAAAAAATCTGAAAAAGACAGCCGCATTGAATATTATATCATAATTGATATATAGGTGAGACTAGACTTCCTCTTTTGCGTGGTTCCAATTGTTCTAAACACAAAAATATTTTCTTAATAATTTTAAGAGAATGTTTTCAAGATAGTTAATACTAGCGATATTTAAATACTTATCATTATTTTATTTTATAGAAATCAAATAAACACTATTAACAACAAATGGATAAGAACAAATAAGATAGCTTTTATATCACGTAATTGATATAATACCAATGATAAATTATATTTCTGCAGAAGAATAATTTACTTAATTAATTCAATACTTTAATTTTTATGTGATAGGTACCCTGATTAACAACAACTGTGATACAGTCATAGATGATCTAGTTATCTACCTACCACGATTAATACGCGTCAGTGTCAAATTGCTTAAGCTGATTACCCATCTCATAATAGTACCTTTTTTTTTTGTTGACGGGTGGAAAATCCCTTCGGAAGTCCGGCTCCTTGGGGATATAGGAGCCAGGAGTATGTGGTGTTTCCACTAAAAACCACCCGACGGCCGGACTCAGGCGCCCTACTCCGAGGAGGACCCGGGCCATGTTATTTCAGGTCCCCCCCAGATCGACGCCGCGCCTGAAAAAGCTCTATCCCGGGGAAGCTGCGGGCTTCCCCAGCCTAATCTCATAACAGTACCTATAAAGATATAATATTAATTAACAAAAGTCTGCTCTGGTTTGATATTTGATAATAAAATGTTTCATACATTACAGGATCGCGTTTTACAATATCCGCGAGTAATCCGACCTTGAATAAACCATCCACGGCTGGCGGGAGTATGAAAATTGCCAATGAGATCATTGAGGAAGTGGATGAACAGGCCACGATCACAAGCATGGGCAAACGACCAGAAAATAGGTTAGTAGAAAATCAAAAGGTTAACTTATTATTAAACAAAATGAAGTATTTCAAAATATATTTAGTTATTCTAGGCGATTTTGATTTTTTAATTATTTTTAATATAGGTATTATATTGAGCACAACCTAATTAAATAAAATTGGGTTGTACTAAGATAATAAAGTAATTTAAATTCATAATTAAGTATTTCAGAGCCCCATTATTCACGCATGCATCCGCACCTACTTCCTTGTTTCTTAGTATATTTAATGTTTTATTCATCATCCATTAACTGGAAAATTAATGCATCTTTTCTTGCACAGTTTTCTACCGGTCAATTTATTTGTTCATCTGTGTATAGGCTATTGTGGAGTACTAATGATAAAAAATGTACCTAATATACCTTACAGAAATGAGCAGAGACAGTTTATTATTGTTTATTTAATTTATCTTTCATAACGACTGAAACGACTTCAGATAATAAAAAAGTGTCGCGTCCCAAATTTTTGTATGAATTTTTTCCGTCTAGCCCCCTTTCACAACGCGCGATAAGGTACTTCGTTCCAATAATATTCCGGTTGACTTCCATTCACTGAACGCAAATAGCAAACAATTATCATCACTTACATAAATGCATCATATCATGTTTATGAAATTTAATTACTATTTAAACATTAGCAAATTACGGTTTCTTAATAACACTATAATTTTAATTTAAAAAGCTTGGTCTACTGTACTTCTTAAAACTGAGATCAATAATCTGAATAAATAGAAAAAGAAATATAGCTTTGAGCTCAGAAGGAGCTAGACACATTAAATGTTGTAAATACTAGTACAAATTAATATATGAATCTAAGGCTATTTTGAAGAATGTTTGTCGTCAAGTTTACCTAGAAATTTGCGGTTTACTTTGACGATTTACCACTAGAGGTACCTAGAGGTATACATATAAGGTAAACAAGTCCGATTTATAATGATCTTTTTCATATAACAAAAACCAAAGAGGTAGTATAGACGGTGAAGGCCATGACTAGTTGCAATTACGCTATTATTTTTATACAACAAAGATCGCATGCATACACAACGCGCTTGCCTAGAATACTCGTACACAGAACGCCAGATCTTCTTTTGTGCAGGAAACCTTATCCTACTTCTAGTTTGACGACCACATTCACAATATTTTCTCTTAAACCGTCGATCTCACTCTGTCTAATTCGTTGAGTTGTCCCCGGCCTGCGATTTCATTCAATACTTTGAAATACCAAGTTCTAAGAAACGTGTACGTGTACGGCTTTGCACGTGTAATTTCAAGAAGGCACTTTGTACTCTCAGCTTATTAGGTCATCATCAGCCTATCGCAGTCCACTGCTGGATATAAGCCTCTCCCATTGCTCGCCACTTAGATCGATTTTGGGCTTCTCGCATTCAGCTTATTAGGTAAAAATATGAAATACAGAAGCGTCTATATATTTATAAGTAACTTATGTGTTAACGGTATACTGTGATTTTTAATGAGAAAACTACTTCTGAGTTACAATTGTTACAGAAATAAATAGATTAACTACACTATGTAGGTACAGCTACAAGATCCTGTATTTAAAATGAAAGTTTTAGTGTTAGCTGTCATATTATTACGAAACATGTTATGTATATTGATAGGTTTGCTATTTATGATGGTTTATTCCACTATGTTTACCTGGGTGATATTACCAGGTGAATGAAGTAGATTTTTTGGTTTCCTCATTTCACCTTGGAAAATTTTCACCTAGGTGTTATCACCCAATCGTTAAATATTGAACTGATTCCCCAGGTGAACGAAGGCGACATTTTTAATAATAATAATATATTGGAGCGCTACATAATTTATACGCCATAAATAGTAACACAGAGGGAGATCATAGACTATTTTAAAAGTGCCGCGATGACGAATAAGTCTTGTAACCTGTGTGCTGTGTTTACTAATAAATTGATTCCTATTCATAGGTATAACTACAACAAAAGAAATATTTTCAATACTTAACCTCTATACCGCTATTTCTTACTTACGTCATTATAAATTTTATGACCAATAAATTTATACTAAACGCTATTATGCCTGTCTTCGCCGGTCACTTGATATGATGGCATCTTGGGTACTTGGTCTGACTATATATTAGATAAATGTACTTAACATACATAGATTATAAGTATACGTTTTATAAATAAATATGAGTGTCTGATATACTCGTATGAAATATTGGCCCACAATTATTCTGCTACTTTTTTTTTCTTAAACGCCAAAATGACCCGTTTAGTAGACAAATGCTAACAGCCGCTACAGACACTTTCATATACTGATTTAGTTTCGCTACAAAATCAAAAGAACCTTAAATAGAAGAAATCTGTATATAGTTACACTATCGACGTAGAAAATATAATTTTCTCACTGTCAGAGCGGCTTCTTAAAATGTCCTTGTTTTTTCCTGTGCGGAACTTCCCTCGGATACCACCCACTAATGGCGTGGTTATGTCGTACTTGAACCGACCAAAAACCCCACGCCGTCACCAGGTGCTAGTAGCCGGGGAACCAGGCATACCTTAGAAATGAACGCCCTGGTACCCCGACGTACCTCGGCCCATTTACGGGTTATAGATGACCCTCTCCTGTGTGGGAACCCCTATGTTCCCTTCCTGCCCCCGAAAGGCATGCGCGCTCAGAAGCGCGTCGCTCCGTCACCCATGTATGGAGGACGGAGGTCGTTCTGCAACCTCAGGCGTCTGAGTCGTCTGCGGTACCTGGCCTGATTCTCTTCGCCGGGCATTCTGCCAGCGTGTGGAGCGCCGTGTCCACGATCCGGCTATCGCAATGGCACCCAGGCGTTGGCTCCTTGCGATCAGGCACAGGTGATCTCCGGAGCATCCTTTCCCGGTGATCACCTGCGTCACCCGGTATGAGAGGGTGCCGTGATGCCTCTAGAGCCAATCCTCCATAACGGGTCTTACCGCCGCGATAACGGCGTGCCCGTCTTAGAATGATTTTGTTATACCTACATGTTAGGGAGGGCCCTAACATGTATAACAAAAAGTTTAAATCGTTTGCTATGTATATTAATTCGAGTTATACACTTATTTATTTACTGAGTTGTATTTTGTTTTTACTAAAGACTGGCACCTTTGTCTAGTTATTAAGGTTTTCTTATTTTGTAGGCCTACAGCAATGAGTTTGTTCCAAAAGCCTCCAGTGCCGAGTGAACCCGTCAACGTTCCGTCCAGAAACTCCAACGTAAACAGCAACAACTCACGTAGGTACCTTTGACGTTTTACTCATTGCGTATACATTTGTATACTTCACTGTCTACAAATAACAACTTACAGGAAATTTGTTCATAATACTGTTATCAATATAATGCTTTAATTAATAAAGTTGTATTGTTACTTATTTATAATAGTAAATAATTAATTTAAATAAGTCATTTTAGATTTTCAGTACTGGCACAGTAGTGTAAATGTAAAATTGTGAAAGAAATTATATATACTTAAGCGATGTTTAGATATAGGAACTTCATATTTTTAAATCTTATAGTATTTTTACCAACGGAAAGGACAAGAGAAAATTTACAAGATCGCGAAAGAACGCTACCAGTGCTCTGCTCCTAGCATAATTACTAAAAAGCAGTGGGCTAACAACAACCCTTTGTATGTTGCGTCCTAGAGTATAATATCCAACACCGTATAGCAGTTGCGTGGCTCAAATGGCGGGAGGGACCAGGTGTAACATGTGATAAGAGAATGACCTGTAAAGCTGAAAGGGCTTTTTATAAAAAAAATAACAAGGCCAGTTTTAATATATGGTAGTGAAACTTGGGTACCCACGCAGCGGAGTGTACATGCGGATGCAGCGGATGTGCACCGTGACCAGGATGGATAAGATCCGAAATGAGTACATACGAGGAAGCCTGGGAGTCCGCGACATTGTGGAGAAGCTGCTAGAGAGTAAGATGAAGTGGTATGGGCATGTCAAGAGGAAACCATCTGATTACGTTGAAAACCAGGCACTAGAACTATCCGTATACGGAGAACGCTCTAGAATAAGACCCAAGACCACATGGACAGACGTGTTGCGGAGGGTCATGAAGGCATGCAATGTTTCAGAAGATGACGTCAGGGACAGGGCGAAGTGGAAGAAGTATACGAAGAGACCACACCGCACCACCATTTGGGACGAATAGCCGGCAAGAGAGAGAGTATTTTATCCAACGTATTGTATTTTGAGCGATTTATTACACGTCAACATGCGATATGTTGTGCAATTATTCATTCTTCGAACTATCAATTAACATGAATATATCCAATAATTAGGGTCCGCAACCGTACAACGGCAAAAAAAGATAGTGTATTTTTTTTTAATCATCCAAAGATGAGATTAATTATTAGATTAACCCTTTTACTATAGTAAAGTCGTAGCCTATCAAGAGGTCAAACAGATCGCACAAGATGGCAATTGCTCCAGCGACATGGGCCAGGCCCTTAAATTGAGAGAGAAAATCTTTACGATAGGATAGTAGAGATACAATAGGAGTAGATTATAGAAGACTAATGTAAAATGCAAATTAAACAAAACGTTACTTAATGCTGGACGAACTTTGTTCATATTTTATTCGGTGTAATTAACCGACTCCAAAAAGGAGCAGGTTCTGAATTCGGTAGTTTTTTTTATTGACTAGTGTAACTTACTCGTAAACCATCATTGACTTTCCTTACTATGAAAGTGTAACTGAGTGTACAAGTGCAATTCGATGTAATGTAGTAGATAATGTGAAAATGCTTAAAAATGTCCATTATTTGTCTGCCTAACATTCATGGTGACTCGAATAAAATGAAACAGCTGATTAATTTTTATAATATATATTTTAAGACACAAGGCTGTCCTCGTCAGCTCCAACACCGTGGGGGGCGAAACCCCGTGAAGCAGGAGACTTGAGTCCTACTGCACAGTCGCTCACTACGCAAGACTCGTTCAATTTGCCCAACGCGCGGTCGAGACTAGACAGTGATGTCGGACCGTCCTTGAGTGCTGCTGGGAGCCAAACTTTGTGTAAGTATAGTAAATATTTACTGATGACATCAATCTTGCTATTTTTATCTCTGTTAGTATTTGACGAAAACTGACTTTGTAAAAGAATATACAACAAGCATCATTTATATTCTATAATAATATGCAACAAAAAAAAAAGATGCAATAATATGTGTGAAGTGAACGAAGTTTTTTTTATCAGAACGTGTACACAACATCAAATAAATAATCTGCTGATTGTACTACTAAGAGAACTAAAGCGCCTACCTATTACAATGTAATTTAAATATGGGAAATGAATTAGCATAAGGTAGACTTTGCATATTAATGTTCTATGCAAGATGCGTGTTTTAATAATTCATCATCATACTCGTAATAAATCTATGGACATTGATTGGCGACGTACGTAGTGTACACAACGTAAGACATCCTAAAACTCGATAAATGGATATCTCAATGACAGGATACTTGGTAAGCAAGCATCCACATCACATCGACTCATTAATCATTATATGCTGTCAAAGTAACTGGTAGGTATTAGATTTAGGCTTTATACACCTTTTAATGTCTCGTTTACTACAACTAGTTTATTTCATAAATGCATTAGTTAATTTTGCAAACCCGGCAAACTGAAACTGCTATCTAGGGCCTTTAATGTTAAAGCTTAAAAAGTTATTGTTTATTGCAGTAGACGAGGTGGACGGTGATGGTGCTGACACCGATATGGATGACTTTGACCGTTTGCGTAGCACACGAGAGCAACATCGTCGAGAAAAGTACCTACAGAAACTTATGGCCCGCTCTGTGTCCGCACAACAGGTAACATATAATATATTATAATTACCGCAAATGTTATTGAGTGAAAAATAATAATTTTATTCTATCCTGATAAAACATAAACTCAAACTCAAAATAACTTTATTTCATAAAGAATTATAATTGTTTGAAATCGTCTCTTGCGTACACTCAGTCACTCAGTCAACAGAGATTATTGGTATTATGTGTGCTGATCTATGATCAGCACACATAATACCAAAAATCTCTGTTTTGACAAATATATAGCAAAATCAATACATACGTATCGAAAATCTATTAAGTAAAAATGCCTGGGCTGCTAGATCTAAAACGAAGGCCGTCTTAGGCAATGCCGGGGCCCCCGGGCACAAGAATTTGGGGCCCTGTTGGACAGTAAAACGAGATAAATAGATAGGTACATCTAGATAAACAGATATAAATACAGGTATTAATTAAATAAGCAAGCTTGAATGGATGGTTTTAATCGGTTAAGATTACGACAATGTTTTTTTCTAGATGTCTATTACGCAAAATCTTCTGTCATAGGCGGATTAAGTATTAAGAGCGCCCTAGGCAAGCATCTCATCGGCGAAACCCGCATCTCTAATATTTATAACTTAATATATATAACTATAATAACTTCCTCAAAGGTTTAATAATAGCTACTAGTCGACGTTACAAAATGTGTGATAATGAAAGCTCCAAATTTTAGTTCACATTTCTTTACTACAACTTCTTTTCCGTGTCGGAAACCCCAAGGGCTGTCACCCACCGGTTTTTGTGATGGTAAAGGCGTGCTCGGCGCTTGGTTGCCCAAGCCTTTCCTCTATCCCTCCACGAGGACCCGGCGGGTCCCCCTAACCATGAGGGCCCTGGGCACGGGCTCCGCGTGCTCTTATGGTAAAGACGGTACTGTTTAAAACGTCTTTTTACTCACGTCTAGATCTTACGTGTGGGCATTAATTCCTGTAACATAATTGTAAATAAAGGAAAGCGTTTTTGTTTTAACTGGGAGTAAAGATTTGCGTAATTAATTTAGAATTGACAAATACCTACACTTTCTTAGTAAAGGTTTAGAGACATGCGTCATCGTCCAGCTAACCTTACTTTAACCCAGTCGACGTCAAGTACATGAATTTATTATAATATAACTTAAATGTTTTAAAACATTTTTTTTTTCTTTTACAGCGAACAGGGAGCATGGAATTGGTTGATAATGACCTTTTATTAGAAGATCTACTAACACAGTCATCATCGCTGAAAAAAGAAGACAAATCAAAGAGTGAATCCAAAGAGAGCACTTGACATAAACTAAGCAAAAGCTTTATTTTCCCATGGGATGGCCTTGAGTTCTGAACATCTCTCAGAACAGTTCAGTATTATCAAATTGTGATACTTTTTTGGTGCATCGAATTCATAATAGAAATCATGAAATCCAGAATTGTAAATAGATAAATGATTTTCACCATTAAGTAGTTTTAATTTAACAATAACACGCCTGTATGTCTGCTTTGAGGGTCACTTACCGCTCTAATACGAAACTATTCTTTCGCCAGATGCCAACGTTTCAGCGACTCGCTAAGTAATAACGTCTGAGAATAATTTTTTCATACTGCAACACTGAGGGAAAGATAAACAGGCCCAGCTCTGTCCTGAAAGTAACTGCATTAGCTGATATAAACTACAAGTACCTGGATGCCTTGCTTGTTTTTTTTTTAACCTATCTAGATCGATTAATCGCCCCCGAAACCCCAAGTGTGGAATATTTCGAGCGTAGTTCACACGCAAGAACTAAATAAGCTTCAAGCATCAATGAACCTGCCACAGCTGAAACTTAAGCAAGAGGTCGCCACTCGGTGGAATTCCACTAACGACATGCTGTTGCGCTTCTTAAAATGCAAATCAGCCATAATTGCGACAGTGGCTTTCTAAAGAAGCAATTTGTGCCTTAACGATAATGACAGGAAATTTGTAGAAGAAATTTTGCCAATATTTTCATTGTTTGCAGAGATGACCCATGAAATCAGTCACATTATCAAAAGTTATACCAATGTTCCGTATTATATTTATCAACATATCGAATAGATTACGGGAAACTGATCACACAACTTTGCCAGTAATAAGCACTGTCCTGCAAACACGGAATTCACAGTTCAATAAACGTTTTGGGACTATTGAGAATAACGTTATATACTGTGAGGCAACTATACTTGACCCACGTTTCAGAAATAAAAGATTCAGGGGTCAAGAAAAATTTGAAAAAGCTTTAGGTTGCCTAAAGAGTAAAGTGACACTGTCGCAACCGTTAGTCCTCGAACGAGCACCTATATATTAGCACCACAACATCCTGTTCCAACAACGCCAACTTCCAAAAAGTTTTGGGACGACTTCGGCAGTGAAATCGTCGTATTAACTCCTCAAAATCCAACTGCGGCGGGGATAGTTGAAGTAGACAAATATTTAAACAAAATATTTTTAAAACGAAAAAGAGATCCTCTGACGTGGTGGCATGAGCGACAATTGGTATATCCACTCCTTTACCAATTTATGCTAAAACGCCTCAATTTAATCACCATTTCCGTTCCTTGTGAATCAATTGAATTGGATCACTGAGCTAGTGAGCTAAATGAGTGATATATATCTTTAGAGCGAAATATGTATCTATCTTTTCAGCTCAGTGATACATTTTGCGCATCACTGCTTCTCTGACATATTCGTGAAATAACAAGCAGCAAAACTAAGGCACCAAAAGGTGCCTACCGTATGACATTATTCTTTCGCTTCCGTCTCGTCTTACTCTGAATACGTGGAACTTACTTGAACGTTTAATATATTACTCGTACTTGTATTTAAAGTTCAATCAATCTCAAAAAGATACTGCCGTCAAGAGAAACATGCGAAGTGTGAAAGTATTTAAACAATTAAAGTGGTACAGCTTTGTGTAAAATTTGTTTCAAAATAATGAAATCAATCAATTTGTTTCAATAATGGGAACGGGGAGTGTTTTTTTTGCGAACCATAGCAACACAAACAACACTCCGTTCAGGTTTTTTTATAAATGTATTAAAAGATACTCGATACCTTTAGGTATCGATAGTTTTGAAATTTTGCGTGTCTCTACTTAGACTATACTTACCTTAAAAATTATTCTCATTATATCTCTTAAACTAAGACCAGACTAAATCTGTAACTTGGCGAAAAATTCCGACTAAATTTGGGAGAAAACAGATCTTCGCTAGACAAACAGACTTTTTGTGATATGAAATCCAAGCTCCAAGCTGGGGAGATTATACTCAGCAGGGCCACCTATAACTTTTAAACAAGTGACCGACAAATTCTGATATTTGGCTATAAATTAGCGACTAAATGTACGGGAGCACCTGAACGGGAGGCAACAAACTCTGTAAACGCATTTTGTACTGCCTCTCAGGAATTGAATTTTTTACCCACTAAAAAGTTGTCTAAATTTTGGAAAAAGTAATAGTCGGTAGGTGCCCGTCCAGCTGATTTTTACAAGAAGGGCATCAATAAACTGCCAATGCGTTGGCAAAGATGCGTCGATTGCATGGGTGATTACTTCGAATAACCTATATAAAAAAGTTTGAAAAAATAAGTACTTTCACTTATTGCATACAAAACGGCAATTTCATAGGTACAGACCTATTATATGGCTTTATGTCAACATAAAATTGTATTGTCTCGGTGTCGGGAGGCGCCTGTAAAACTAACCTAATAAAACCAGAGAGAGCTTAAAGGGCAGTTCGCAGTACGTATGGATTGAGGAGCCATTTTAAAATTTAAACGAATTTTAAACGGAAACTGCCCCCTCATTTAGTAGCTGAGAAAATAATTTTGTAGGACAAATCCTGAAATTTGTAGTAAGATATCCAAAGCTACGTCAATGTAAAAGTGGCTCCTCAATCTAAACATTTGAATTGAGGAGCCACCTGGAACACGGAAAGTATTTAATGAATATTTTTGAAAACTTTGTATCATTTAGTAGTAATATGTGTATAGTGCCTACTAAAAATCTGAATCCAGTACTATTTATATTCAAGAATACCTATACAACACTTTTAATGTGGTTCCTCAATCTATATTTATGAGTGTGAATTGCCATGAAAGTAAAAAGTTAAAATTTATATTCTATTCCAAAAACATTTAGTAGCAAGTGGGTTTGAATTTGTAGTAACAGGATAAAGTAGTAAAACTGAGTGAATTTTGTAAATAAAGGCATTTTATTTGGCTCCTCAATCCTGACGTTCTGCTTAATAAATAATGGATTGTACCTACCTGATTACCTCCTTTCTAAGGAGAGGCATATGTCCAGCAGTGGACTAGTATAGGCTGTTGATGATGATGATGACCTACCTGATATCACAACAGAAATAAAAACTAAAGACACTAACATTTAGTATAAATGTCTACTAAATAAATATGTACAGATCAACGTTGTATATATTACTATACTGTCCGTGTAGTGACGGATTAAGAATACGGAATGTCACTACCCCAATTCATCCCGTGGGTGTCGTAAGAGGCGACTAAGGGCGCAAAACAACGCAGGACACCAGCACTGCAAAAAGAAGGAAAACTTGATACAATCCCTTTACCAACCCGTCTGGCCAGCGTGGTATAGTAGGCCAAAACCTCCTTTCTAAGGAGAGGCCTATGTCCGGCAGTGGGCTGTTAAAGGCTGTTGATGATGTTGTATATATTCGGTATCTGAAAAATAAATTACATTTTGATATTTCTTATAAATTCGCCATTGTGACCATGTTAAATAAAAACAGGAGGACAAGTTTTTAAAATTTAATGTTTAACAAATCGACAATTTCGAAATACAAATAATCAGGTTGAACATAAGTGATACAATGAATTAATATTGGTTGTTCCGTGCTTTAACGAATTTTACAGTCAGAATCATAGTCATCATAGCAAAACATCTCATCCTTCGTTGGGTAGTGACACTTATAGTGTCCCATGCCAGCGTCACTAATTGCAGGGATATATTCTGTAACACCTATTAATATGTATAATCTACCTGAAATCATTATAGATTCTGGTATCTCGCTTACTCGAAACTTCGTACAAAGATTTATTTCAAATGAAATTGTATTTGATAGCGTATATTTGCACACTGTTTGGAGGTCACAAAATGTACAAACATTTTTTTCTTCTGCAATACAAATTGCATCTTCTAAACTTTGGATCCCGAAAACAGAAATTATATTCAGGTTTAAAGGTAAAAATACGATCTGTCTAGATATTGGGCTAAATTGGCATGAATTATTAGTACACTTTTTACTGAAAATTGCACTAAAACAATATTTTAAAGCTATATCTTCAAAAATGAAGAACACATTACAAGCAAATTCACAGAGGCTTTCTTTTGTTTCAAAATACAGCACACCGATTTCGGACTGCATTCTGTATATATCACAGTCATTAGCAACAGGATCTGCTAAAAGTTTAATGTATTGAGGAATTAAATCATCAGAGTATCTGTTCAATGTTTCTTGAAAACTTCTACTTTAAATATATCCCATGCTTAAGAAATGCATGACTGAATCAAAGCAACATGTATTTTTCAAACTCACATTAATAGAACTTTTGCTGACAGGTACAGAATCGCATAGATTGCCATTTTTTATAAATTTTAATTTACGTTTAATACACAACATACCTAACGTGTTGATTTAGATAAGGTATAATACTCTATTGTTCAAAATAAATGAGTAAATTACCCAATGTTTTTTTTGTAATATGTAAAAGATAAAAGTGGTTACTGTGGGTTATCTTTAGGTCGCTAGGAGGGAACTGAGTCCCGCCTGCCACCACTGCGACTGCAGTGAGGATTCGGCCCATCACACGCTGGCGGTCTGCCCCGCATGGGCGACGCAGCGCCGGGCCCTCACTGCAGTCATCGGAGTGGATCTCTCGCTACCGGCCGTAGTACGCTCCATGGCCGGTAGCGACAGTTGTTTTACCGCGGTCGCAACCTTCTGCGAGGAAGTAATCTCGCAGAAGGAGGTGGCGGAGAAGGCCCGGGAGGACGACCTCCACTCGGACCCGATCCGCCGCCGGCGAACCGGGCGGGGGAGGCGCGCTCACCTGCGCCTCATGCCGCCCTGAGTGTGGCCGCGGGTGGACGGGGTGGGTTTCCCCTCCACCCGCATTAGTTTGGCTAGCATAGTTTACCGCGAGTTTACCGAAGGTGGTGCCCGCGCCGTTGCGGGCAGGCGCTAGGAGGGGTCCGGATGTCTTAATAACAGCTGTTCCCGGATCCCTCCTATTACAGGCGC